CTCTCTCTCTCTCTCTCTCTCTCTCTCTCTCTCTCTCTCTCTTCTCTCTCCTTCTTCTCCTGCCCCCCTCCCTCTCTCTCTCTCTCCTTTACTCGTCTCCCGCTGGTCTTCTCTCCTCGCCTCCTACGCGAGTTCTCACGCGGAGAACCACCGCCGTACCCGCGAAGCGGATGGAGGGACAGAGAGAAAGAGAGAGAGACGACTGTCGCGCGACGTTTCAACTCGCGTTCACCTCGCCGTTCGCGGGATGACACGCCTGAACGGTCAACTGCCAAAGAGGAAGTACAGGCGAGACGTACTACCGTTCTGCCCTGGCGAGTAAGCCTGCCTCGACTGCCCTCGGCAGCCAGCACCTGGGACCCAAGCGCCTGACGCTGGTTCGTTCGCCGAGTACAATGCCTCCTATATCGGGTGTCCTTCTTTAAAACACCGCCTACCTCCGTCCTCAACTATCCCCTTCAAGCCGACGAGGCCGCCTCTCTCTTTCTCCTTCTCGCCTTTTACGAGGACGCTCTCCGCTCTCCTAGCCAGGTAGTAACCAGTGATTCTCATCCCGACCAGGTGAATGGTACCGATCGGGCTGAGCCCAGGGCTGAGCATAGTCGCAAAGTTTATGTGGAGAACTCGACGGGCCTCTCAGAGTTGCCGGAGAAGTTCGCCGAGACTTGTTATCTATAACCTCTTTAAAGTATCTAGTCAAGAATTTGTTCATCGAGCCACGGAAATCGTCGCGATTACGTTTGGAAACCATCTCTCCCTAATTTTAATTAAATTCTTCGTAATTCTCTCGAATTTCATTTCATTCTTATGTCGCAAAAATGTCAAATTGTATTTACGATAAACGTAAGAGTATTGTTATATTTCAAGAAAAGTATTAAAATATTGACATATCATCTGGATTATAACATATTTCTTTTCTAAACATTTAAAAAAGAAAGAGTAGCTTTCAACTTGCTCACTAAATGCATCGCGATATGTATGTGATTCCTATTTATTCTTCTTTGTGAATACAGGAAAAAATTGCAATCGAAAATCGCATCGGACAAACGAATCAGCGGAAAGATAGAGTACGAAATAATGAATTTTCCGCTAGACATCTCGATAGGCGCGCGCAAATGCATCATGTCTAAATTTCAAACCAGATAACTTTCTGAAAACTGACAGCGCTCTTCCCGCTTACATGTAATTTTATGTCATGAATTAATTTTCAACTCTTGCCATTCTTACCAACCGATTCGCCATGCTTCTCAAGATTATACATCTCAGAGGCGTAGCATTATTTATTACGTTAGGGATATTTTTGCAAAATAAACTTCGAAACTCAACGCGCGGAAACTCGTAAAAGAAAACGTATAAAAGAGACGAGCTCCTCGTTTGATAAAATATTCAATTTCTGAATTATTGATGGGAGCCAGCCGGGCGTAATGTGATTCTATACGGAAAAGCGGAACGTCGCGGGGGATTCGTGTCATCGAGAGAGGCACAACGATTGCGCGGTGCTACAAACCCGCGAACGCGGTTAAAATTAGCGCGAAACACCGCGTAAAAAGCCCCCGTTAAGCTCGAAAGCCGGACATTGCAGTTCAGCCAGTAGGCCGGCTGCGTGTTATTGATCCCGTAAGTTGCGCCCTTTGTATCGCGGAAACATCGTTGTCCCGACGTGGACGAAGGCGGCCGTGACGTACGCGCGGTTCCTTGATCGATGCGAAATGAATTAATTTTAGACCGGCGAAATCCCGGAGAAGAGAATTGAGTTTAGTCGCGTCTGTTCACGCCTCTCTGTATCTCTGTATCTCACGTCAAGGAGAGCCGACACATTTCGAGATGCGACCTGCAGACCTCGACTTTGTCATAGAAAATGCGACAAAAATGCGAAAAGCTCGACGAAATATTTGCTGAGATTCTTGTAAGGTAAAACTTAACGTTATATACGTTATATATCGCGTCTATTTAATCGAGGCAATGAGAGCAACTTCCGAGCCTGGAAAAATTTAACCGATCGATCGCGATCGATCGTACCGATAAATCCATCCCTTACTTACGTGACATTTCCCTTATTGTGATGATAAATTCTAAACTACGGCGACCTTGGCGACGTGCCTGCATTCGGCGTATCGAATTTTCACGGGGCCGGGGAGGGCGGCCATCGAAGGTAGACGCTTATGGATCACGTTTATAATTCAAAAGGCCAGGCGGCGGCAGGACGGCGGCAGGAAGGCAGCATTTTTTATTTAGGAGCTCGGCGCGGAATAACGAGATCGTCTTTCCGCGAGAGAGGCGGAAAGGAAAGACCGGAGCGAACAACGACGGGGAAGAACAAAACGAATGGACACGGTAACGAGCGGCAGAAGAAACGGATGGTGGAACAGCGTCAGCGGCATAACAACCGGACGACTTTTCCACAGCGACGTGCGTACAGTCCCGGGGACGTTTTGACGGGAATAATCTGAGAAAATCCGACCGTTGTTGGGAAAGAACACGTTGGGAAACACTCGAAATAACTCGTCTCCCGCAAATCTGCGTTATATTTTATTACGAGAAACGATGCGTCCAGGCCAGAATGTCTGGGCAACCGAAAAATTGTCTGGAAATAAAGCACAGTTTAAACTTGGTGACTCGGCGATATAATTAACGCGGTGTCTCTTAGAAACACTTTAACAATGAAATTGCATGTCTTCTTATTTCTTTCTCGTGCAGCTTTGTATTTATTTTAATTAGTTTGAAAAATTTACGTTTTATCTTTTGAAGAGTACTGATTTCGGAATTACATTTTTTTCAACTTAATTTATCTTCCCCCCAGAAAAGAAGTGGCTGAGGTGGCTGTAAAATTCATTTGAGAGATCGCGAGAGATAATGCACTTGTTATGCAACGATGATGGAAAAACGACACTTTTATCCCTCCTCTCCTCGATATACCGATAGACAGATTTTATATTCGTTAAAATTTGTCGCTATGCGACACAATTTATACAGACGCAACGCGGAATGTAAATGCGCCGCATAAAATTTATAATGCGAGATGGTTTTGTGGAGATTAGCCTTTCATCGCCATTGATTGATCGCGTGCATTAAGCGACGATGACAACATTCACGATTACAAACCAGATAATCAAAGTTTATTCAACCGAATGATCAAATAACATTAGCGATTCAACAATAACGATTCGACGACCAGCTGTTTGTCGGTTCATTCGCGATGTTACCATTTTCATTGGACACGACGGCCATAGAAATATGTGGAATTAATAGTAACAATTTTAACAATTTAAAAACTGGTGAATGACTCGAAGTAAAAAAAAAAAGTAAAAAAATGTCGCTTTTGTAACTTCCCAATAAACACGGATTGGTAAGAGAGACGTATAAAACATATAAAAATCCAACACGTATTATATGATATGTAAGAAAAAGGTACGCGTCTATCGATTATAAACAGTTATTTGTATCTCTTTTTACACGTACGATACGTATGTAATTTTTATAAGGTATTTTTAAAAGTTTTTATATATTTTTTTATACCAATTCGTGGTTTATTGGAGTATGTTTATAAAGAAGTTTATAAGTACGTATAAAGTCGCTCGACACGTCTCGATTATATATGTACGCCTATCGATTGTATACGTTTATTTAAGATCTTCCTTACACTGTACAGTACTTATGAATTTTAATATGTTCCTTACAACAATCTTTAAAACAATATTTATCGATGTATATTATATTACATTTACGCCAGAGAGCGTGTATTAAAAACATGTTTTTGAAAAAACATTTATTTGTTATAATTTTCAAACGTATACTATTATATGCATAATCGGCATAAAAATCGTATATTTCTTATATCTAAATGTAAATATTTAATTATGTAATTTTTTTATATCTAAATAAAAATAAATATTCCCAATTTTAAACCACCGACTACGTATGTTATATCATATTTATATACAGTGAGTGTTTATTGAGTTCGTGTCCACATTGCGAGCTTTACACGCTCGCCCAAGGCAGATGGATTTTATGAATTCAGTGACATTGAGAAAACAGCTCGATCGTCCGTCACCCTTCGCAGCGACGAGTGCAGCTGCATCTCGAGTCCGGAGGGCACGGGAGTGATGCTACGCTGCAAGTAGATAGACTTTATACGCCGTAAGATTTCTGGTGCCCCGGAGTTGCCCCGGAGGCAAACTATTTAGATATTTCAGCTAAAAGGGTCCAAGTGTTTATCTCATATCTCATATCCCTCTTATCCCTCGCTCTATACACCCTCATGTAATATTCCTACACTCCATTCCGCACATCGGTTTCTCGGTACAAAGTAAATAAATTATGTAAATTAAAATGTGTGCCGTACATATATTCGGGAATATATTCACAGCTTGTCCTCCATTTACTGTTTTACTGTTTCTTATTTTCACGTATCACCACTCAACTTTCGAATCGTGTATCCAACATCCGGTATATACAACATCGGTGTACACCGAGCACAATGCGCCTGCCTGTATCCAGAGTATCCCGAACATCCCCGCCGTTCCTTCCCCGTCGTTCGTCCCTTACGTCGCATTTTTATCATAATCCATCTCCCCAAGCTACGCTACCTAAGCACCGCGCGCGCGAATTACACAAAGCGCCGGCTATTCTGAATCTAATTCAAATTACATTCGCTCCTTCAAGAATCGCACAAAGCGTCGATCGTTCCGAATATTCTACCGGCACTTTGCATCTTATTTCTCCATCCCTTCGTCCCCCCTTCACTTCACGGCACCGAATCGCGCAAAAGTGCCGGTTATTCAACGCGTTCGATTTACATCTCGTTTCTTATTTCTCTCGCGTCGTATCTTCATACGGAGTCCTCCCCGGAGCCGGAGCACCGAGATAACACGGATTACACCCTAGTTGTGTTTGCCCCTCAGTTTCTGCCGCCCTTCTCCTCGCTCTCTCTCCTCTTTCCCCTTCTCCTCTCTCCTACCCTCCCCTGCTACCCTTCCCTCCGGGCTCACTCACGTCCTCGTCCTGCTGTATCCTCGTGCACATGGCACGCGACTCTCCGCGGTGGACCCGGTTCGGGCGCAGACGCGCCGGCACGCGCGGCGGCCGTTGCGCGATCCCTGCACCGAGTCGGAGCCGACTCTGCGGAGAAACGCGTTCGCTCGTCCGCGGCACTCGTGCGCCGACCACGACCGCGGCACACTCGGAGGTACTCCTCTTCGTCTCGCGAGGATCCACCTTGGAACGCGCGCGCGCGGCGCAGCTTCCGCGCGACCGGGAGAGATTTCTCTCTCCCCGTCTCTCTTTCTCTCTCGCTGTGCACCAGATGTATCCGGTATGCTTGAAAAATCTCTCCTCTCGGCGAGGCTCGTACCTTGGCTGAAACAATCTCGACCGACGCGAGAGAAATGTTTTTAGTGTTGTAATCGTGTCGTGACATCGGGGATCGAAGCTAAAAGTCGTTCGATGCTGGAGGAAACTTTGGTATTTCAGCGTTAAGATGTTCCGTTCAATCTTTTCTAGGCATTTTCGTATATCGATTATTTATTGGATTCTGTTTCTAAAATTTATCTTCACTTCCGTCATCGTGATGACGTTATTTATTTATTTATTTATTTATTTTCGAGATTGCACTAATCGCTTTGCAATTGCTTTTTGGACTCGTTGAAAAAGTTGTTTAATATTGTTAATTTCTATATCATTTTGTCGAAATAGTTGAAAGGAACGAGACTCTATTTTGTAGTACCGCATAGAATGTATAACCGTTCGCGTTGCATGATTGTTGTGTACCAAACAGCACTGATGTATTTAAGAAATCACGCTCGCGACTTTGTTGCATGTGTTACGTTAGTAAGTCCAATATGTCCAATAGTTCGATTGTTCCATTTAGTTGGAAGCGCCATTGTTCACATTGTGTGCGGTAATGTTTATTATATTAATATGATTGAAACATCGTTGATAATTTTCCTGTTAATCAACGACTCAATAAGTGGGAAATTAAAATTATATCTTGAAAGATTTTATGAAAATTTAGGATCTGTCGCTACATTTCTTAATTTTTAACGGTTCGTTTAAATTTCTATTTAAAATTGATTTGGTCCATTTGTAAACCAAGTTTAGACGTAATGTTCCCAATTCGTCAAAATTTAATTTCTCGTAACGTTAGATAGTTTCGCAATTAAAGCTGCAACTACTGCGGGAATGTCAACTCTGAATTTGATGAAGAAATCATTATATTCGTATAAAAGTCGTAGGTGGTAGAAATAAAAGTATAATGTAGACAATGTATACTTGTGTCCCACATATATACTTGCTTCCGCGACGCTGCGTTTAATATCGAGATGCAGATAAACTATTATCAAGAAATGAAAGCGTTTTCACATGATATTATACTCATAAAATGTACGGGAGCCCATTTGTCGTAAAAGATTTGTATTAACAAGATTTATTTCCAGTTCAGCCAGAAAATTAAAATACACAATAGGAAAACTTAATTCCTCGACGTAACAAACATTTTACGGGAAACGTGTTGTATTTAATTAAAATTGCAAAAATTGCAAAAATTCTAAAGGCAACCATATCTGTATATCTATAATAATTCACATCCCTTATAATTTAACTGTGCTTATTCTCGTCGGTGAAGTATTTATTAACGTTCCAAAATTCAAAGTCGTAAAAAGAAAATGAAAAGCAATAGAGTATTAACACCGCGTAATCGTGATGCGATTTTTTTTGTCAAATCCGGTTTCGAAATAGTCGAAACGACAAAAGAATTTACGTTATAGGGATGTGTTGAACGGGAGGCTTTGTATAAAATCTACTGACGAACTTTGAAGCGCTTGTTTGCAGCGCAAACTACAACGTGACTCGACTCTGCTTCGGTGCGACGCATTGTAATTGAGGGAAGCCACTTCGATGTAGAAGTGCGCGCTCTTGTTTGCAAGTTATAAACGCCCCTTCCTAACTTTGGTCTCGCAGATTTCGATGTTGGCGGGCGCGTGAGTTGCATAAAGGGAACGAAAGAGCGTGTTCTCCCGATCGGCACCGTGTCATTCGCAAAATATCGCTTTCAGCATGAACAGCCTCAAAAGATGCCTAGAAATGTACAAAAGGTATCTGAAAGTTAGAACATTCCTTGGATGTTTTCAGTATCAAAAGAGAACTCCTTGTTTCAAAACCGAATAGTGACATATAAATAATTAACGTGTGTGTGTGTGTGTGTGTGTGTGTGTGTGTGTGTGTGGTGG